TCCGAGGAATCGTCACTTCACTATAACAAAACACCCCCTAGTTTTAGTCACTGGAGTGTTCACCTCATAAAAAAGCACTGGGCTTCAGAAGGAAGATTCAAACACAGTGTTTGAAATGGACCAACACCCTCACATTACAGCTAAAGATCCGGAGGTCTGAGTGGGAACCACAGGTTAATCGGTTTGCCCATAGTCATACTACTCAGTGGCAAGCCCAAGTGTAAAATCTGACCAAGAGGCTGGTATGGTGGCACATGCCTGTAACAGCTACGCTGGAAGCTGAGGCAGGAAGATCACATGTTTGAGTCCAGCCTGGGCAACTTGTGAGAAAGTAAAAGGAAAGGAAAGGAAAGGAAAGGAAAGGAAAGGAAAGGAAAGAGAAAGGAGGGCAGAGCAGGGCATGGCAGTACCAAGAAATAAGCAGAGAGCTGCAGATGTAGGTAGCTCAGTGGTAGAGTGTTTGCCTAGCCATGTGTGAAAGCCTGAATTTTATTCCTCAGCACTGAAAAACAAAATTGAACCAAACTCCTGACTCAATGTCCCTGCCAGGCTCTGCTCCTGTATTATAATATAATTCTTTTCTTAATTCTCTGCCCTTGAGTCGTAGTCTTTTACTTCTGTAGCAAAGGGAAATGTAGATATTGAAGATCTCCTGACCAGGGTATAGTAAGAGGAACAAGTCTAAAGGTTCAGATGCTAAGTCCTCAAAGCCCGTATCCACTGGTTCCTTCTGTCTCCCTCTCCAGCCCTCAGGTAAGGCCCTAGGTTAGTCTAGAACCCCTGCTGCAGCAGAGGACCCTTCAGTAGCAGAACAACAGAGCTTCGACACATTGTGTTCAATTTTCCTTTCACAATGAAAGTGTTCTCAAAACTGTCAACAATAAAAAAAAAAAAGAGGGTCATTGGAGACAGACCATGAATGGGTCAAGTGACATCCTTGGCACACGATCATTCCAGGTTTCTGTTTTATGACAGGGACAGAGGTGCTGCTTCCTATAGTACACCAAGCATTTGAACCCACATCTCCTTTTCTAAGCTGCCCATGCAGGCCAAGTGTTTCACTCCCTGTCACCCAGCAGAAGGGCTGTACCCAGTAAGGATCCTGCATGTACCGCTGAATGAATGAGCTCAGTAATTCAATCTGTAACTCTGGATCAGCTTATTTCTTAAGAGAGAGAGAGAGAGAGAAAAAAAAAAAAACCTCATGAATTGACTTACCATGTATTATTTTTCCTACCTACCTTAGATCCTCAGTCTCTATCTTTTCTGCCTAGATTTTTTTTTTTAAATTTTATTTATTTACATGTGTATGTGGCCAGCTCAGCCCACCAGGGGGCGGGGCTGGCTGGCATGTGGTGCTGGGGATTGAAC